GGGGGGGGGGATTTAGAATTCCTCGGCCACACACAACACCACCAAGGCGGCCACCACCAGCATCTCATTCGAACACTTACAGCCTCCTTGCCGTCCGAGCCACCGAGAGCCTTCTTGCTGGCAGAGAGGAACTCCTTGACGAGGTCCCTCTTGATGACGACGCCGTCGACGGACGGGCCGAAGACGGAGATGTAGTCGGGCGCGGGGAGGTCGGCGGCCGCGTCCAGCAGGCTGTCGAGCGGCGCGTTGCGCAGACAGTCCACGATGTCCTCGTGGTCGCGAGCCAGGTCGGCCGGCACGCTGCAGTTGAGCTTGGAGGCGACGCGCACCGCGGCGCGCACTGGATCCTGGACGAGCGCCCAGGGGCTGTAGGCCGACCCCGACATGAGCGCCGCGCGATGGAACAAGCCTGCAACAGACGAAGACGGATTAGAAAAGCACGAACTATACCGAGGTTTTCGAAATAACTTCCCTCACGCCGCATGCCGCGACACTTCTCCCTTTGCTTTTACCGAGGAATGCATTTCAGCGCGTTTCCGGCGAAACGCTGGTCCGGCCAAACTCATAACTTGTTTTACTCTCTCGCGTGTTGCGAAACGACCAGGGCAACACGTTCGCTCGCTCTCGCCCTGGCTCTCTTTCTCTCTCTCTCTCTCTCTCTCTCTCTCTCTCTCTCTCTCTCTCTCTCTCTCTCTCTCTCTCTCATTCCAGCTCCCTCCCTCACGTTACTGTCGGAAAATATTGTGAAATTTTCACTATTCTTCATAATTCTGATTTAGATAAATTTGTACATTGTCAAAGTTTAAATTTGCGAATGCACTCTTGTATGAAATTAACAAACGTAGCCGTACATATTCACATGCTATAAATCCTATTTGTTAATCGTGGGAAAAAAACAAACTCGATTCATGATGTGAAAACTTTTCGGAACTTTCACATTTAAATTCATAATTAACATTACCATTCGTAACCGTAATTTTGCAATATATGTTCGACTTTTAACGAGATTTATCATTTTTCCCGCCCGCAACCCATGGGTTCATTTTTCCACAGACGTGGCTCTCTCTCTCACCCACACTCTTACGCCACGCAATGCAGGCGCACAGCAGCGCGCTCCAATTTTGCGCGGCAGCAGAAAAGCACACCGCGTCGTACGAGGCACGCGGGGACGACGGCCGAGGCCAGCAAGGGAGTGAGTATATAGCGTCTTTGTGGAGGGCAGTTTATATCGCGCCGGGTAATCCCGCCGGCCGATGTTGCCGCGCTGTCGGCAAGTCGTGCGTTCCGCCGTGCCGGGCGCCAGTTAGGCCCCGCGGCGGCGGGGGACGGCCGGCCAAACCGAGCGGCAAATTGAATCAAAGATGAGAAGTACTGGCCCCCGGGGG